GAGAGAGAGAGAGAGAGAGAGAGAGAGAGAGAGAGAGAGAGAGAGAGAGAGAGAGAGAGAGAGAGAGAATGAATTGCAATGGATGCTGGAGATACACATCTTATCAGGAAGATGTTACAGCTTCCAGCCATTAAAGAGCTGCAGAGCCTTGGGTGACACCTGCTAGGGTGTCTCTGGCCATTTTTTTTTTTTAAAAATCTGAACTTAGGCTGACAAATTGGTCCTGCTCACCGGACGAGAGGGCGATGGTGCTGAGCTTCACTCTGTACAGGTTACTTCGGACCCTCCAGTGTTGAACCATAGGGTATCCCATAGCTTCATCGTATCGAATGTCACCTGTCAATAGAAGGGAATATTTGTAGCTTATTAGGGGTGGGCTGTGGGCTCCTGGGTGCTCCCTGGACTTGGTGTGGTTTCCCTGTAGATGTCTCATAACCCAACTAGGGAATATAATGAGTGCTAGAAAGGAGGAGGGTTTGGAGAAAGGAGCAGGAGGAGGAGGAGAAGGAGGACTGTGGGGTCCTTGGTGCATCCTGAGCTTGGAGATGTTTTCTTACCCAACTAGGGAACATCATCAGTACTAGAAAGGAGTAGGGTTTGGGAGGAGGAGGAGGAGGAGGACGACGACAACGACGATGACTGTGGGGTCCTTGGTGCTTCCTGAGCTTGGAGATGTTTCCTTACCCAACTAGGGAACATCATCAGTCCTACAAAGGAGTAGGGTTTGGAGAAAGGAGGAGGAGGAGGAGAAGGAGGAAGATGATGATGAGGAGGATGACGATGATGACTGTGGGGTTCTTGGTGCTTCCTGAGCTTGGAGATGTTTCCTTGCCCAACTAGGGAACATCATCAGTGCTAGAAAGCAGTAGGGTTTGGAGAAAGGAGGAGGAGGAGGAGGAGGAGGAGGAGGAGGAGGAGGAGGAGGAGGAGGAGGATTGTGGGGTCCTTGGTGCTCCCTGAGCTTGGTGTGGTTTCCTTGGAGATGTTTCCTTACTCAACGAGGGAACATCATAAGTGCTAGAAAGGAGTAGAGTTTGGGGAGAGGAGGAGGAGGAGGAGAAGGAGGAGGAGGAGGACAACTGTGGGACCACCACCATAGAAAAGTCAAGGTTCCTACCAGTTAGCAATTGGAGGTTGGGAAGAGGTTCTGATAGCACTCCACGACACTGTTCCTCAACCGGTAAAGGAATGACTACCAACGCATCAGCCAGCTGGGGAAAGTCCTTGATGAAATTGTTCTCCCTAGGGAAAAAGAAAAAAACCCAGAGAACTGAAACACAGTGATTTGGACACAGTCTGGGTGAAGAGGATGGAGAGAGGTTGACTTGGATTCCCAAGGGAAAAGACCAAGACAACTATACGCAAATACGAACAAGGAGAAAGGAAACACATCAACGTTACCACATGTCCACCATGAACGATAAAAAGTCCCTTTTTTACATCTGGAATCTTGAATCCAGAGGTGGAGAGGGAACCTTCTGAATCCAGAATACATCGTACCTGGTTTTCCCAAAGGAGCTTTTTTTTTTTTCAGGAGGCAACTGGACTTTCTTGTTGAAGAGGTTTCGCTTCTCATCTAAGAAGCTTCTTCCGCTCTGACTGGACGGTGGAGGAATGGAAAGAAAAACGAAGGAGAAAAAAAAGAAAAGAAAGAAAAGCAAGGAAGTCCAGTTGCCTCTTGAAAAAAAGGACCTCTGGGACAACCATGACCTGGATGACTGAGAATCTCCATGGATATAATACAACAACACCAAATCCATAGCTCCCAGATAACATTATTTTTAGACAGACTTCTAAATTGCGTCGATCTAATTGAAAGGGGGAAATGTGTGTGGTTGGGCATGAATTTGTATGTGAGAGAGATAGACAATATAAATATATGAAGAAATGTGTTATCTTACTGATGGTCTTCAAACTTGGCCCTTTGATGACTTGTGGACTTCAACTCCCAGAATTCCTCAGCCAGGCACGCTGGTTGAGGAATTCTGGGAGTTGAAGTCCACAAGTCATCAAAGAGCCAAGTTTGAAGACCCCTGCGCCAGACAATCCAATAGAAGAAACGTAATGCAAGCATGAAGGTAACACAAGGCAGATACACAACAGAGCTGCAAAACCAGTGGATTGGGTTTCCTGATAGCCACAGTTGAGAGGAACGATTCCCTCAAGGTGAGCATCACTTATCAGGTTGTCCCACGTTCTTCTCGATGCCAACAGTCACTTTAAACCCAAGAATGCCCAAGATAGAAGCTTGTCTACCCCAAGGATAAGACACTCGGACACCGACTGAGCAACGTGATACATGCAGTACAGTGAAGTGGGACCTGTGCAGATTCAGAGAAGAGCAACTAAGATGATCCAAGGCCTGGAGACTAAAACATACGAAGAACGACTACGGGACTTGGGTTTGGCTAGTAGAGCCTATGAACCAGATGAAACGCACAATCGCTGGCAATAAGGAAAAACTAAACCGAAACAAAACAGGAGCACGAATTGCAGACTGTGTCTGATGAACTGGAGACCTGGTGGGGGGAGGCGGTGCTATTAAATTACACCTTTCGCTTTCTATCAGGAACAAGGATATTGGAAGAAAACAAAGCTATATTCCTCTCGGATCGTTGCAAATCTCTTTATTTCAGCTTCAGCGGCTTCCCGAATCTTGCAGTTATAACACAACATACCGTTGATGGAAGCCCTTTGACTCTGCATTTGTCGTTTGGAGGGGAGGTGTGTCTAGGTCTTCTTTCTTTCTTTCTTTCTTTCTTTCCTTCTTTCTTTCTTTCTTTCTTTCTCTTTCTTTCTTTCTTTCTTTCTTTCTTTCTTTCTTTCTTTCTTTCTTTCTTTCTTTCTTTCTTTCTTTCTTTCTTTCTTTCTTTCTTTCTTTCTTTCTTTCCACAGACAATAAATGCAAGGATCAAACATGGTTTGTGCTGGAGAGGATAAACAGCTTTTTGTCTACACAGGACAGCTCGGGCATCTGCAGAATTGCTGACCACAGGAGCAGGAGCACCTGGTTTGGCAGCAGCTGCCACCGGAGAGTTTTTCCCCTGATAGATGCTGCTGCAAAGCACATGTGCCAGATGTAGACTTTAAAAAGGCCCCCCTGGCATTAAAAAAAGAGAAAAGCAATAAATAAAAATCAGAGCAGTTGTTTCTCTCGTTGCTTGGTTTCCCTGGGAGCGAGATGGGAGGGACACCCAGGGCTAGACAAAGTCTGTCCCCCTCATATTGTTGCGTACATCTTAGCACAAGTCTCCAAAGTACCCTAGAGGGGAAGTTTACATCTATGCAACATTTTACTTTGGAATAGTACTATGCAGGAGAGGAAAAAAAATCTGTCTTCCCCACCAGTTCTCTTTCCATCAATGTATTTTCACGGCTGGGCATTCTTGCGCTGATTTCATTATAAGGCGAGGATGGGTCCCCATTCTTAATTTTGGTTGTGAGTTATCTTCCTAGGGAAAATTTCAAGGGGGGGGACATTTGTGTGGAACTTTTGTAAAATGGGAACGGAGAAGGAGGAGGAGGAGGAGGGGGAGGGAGAGGGGAAAAGGAGAAGGAGGAGGAAAAGGAGGAGGAGGAGGAGGAGGAGGAGGAGGAGGAGGAGAAGAAGAAGAAGAAGAAGAAGAAGAAGAAGAAGAAGAAGAAGAAGAAGAAGAAGAAGAAGAAGAAGAAGAAGAAGAAGAAGAAGAAGAAGAAGAAGAAGAAGAAGAAGAAGAAGAAGAGGAGGAGGAGAAGGAGGAGGAGGAGGTGGTTGAGGCTGAGGAGGATGAGGAGAAGAAGAAGGAGGAGGAGGAGGAGGAGGAGGAGAAGGAGGAGGGGAGGGGAAAAAGGAGAAGGAGGAGGCTTGGAGGGAAGGTCGTACAAAGTAAAGCTTTGGCATAAAGGCTTTAGCATAATATGCTAAAATAAGGAAGCCATGTGCGTAAGCCATTTGGCCTCTGACTAATAAACGGAGAGATATCTTTGAAAGAATTGGTTCCTACCAGGACGTTTAGCAAGAGATGGGAAGGAAGGACACTTGGAGAAGCCACCAACTTCCCAGGTCTGAAAGCCCAGGAAGTTGAAAACGGCCCAGCCAATGGCAGTGGCAAATCCTTTCGGGTACCACGCTGAGGGGGAAAAAAAAAGTACTATTGTGTCCCTGAAATCACCAGAGACTCAGTTGTGTGGAAGGAAACGTCTATCTACGCTACAAGAGAAGAAGGTGCAGTTCTAGGACTCAGCCAACAGAGGGCCGTACATGCTTTGGAACACGGCACATAAACAATTATGGGAAAAAAGATTTTCTTTCTAAACGGTTCCATGTGACACGCGTTCCTTGATAAGAGCAGACCCCTAGGGAGAAAATGCAACGGGCTGAGGTTGGGAGGCCCCAGAAGGCCCCAAAGTCAACCCTTCCAGATGTGTTCCTTTTTCGTGCGCAGGACAAATGTGAACATTAAGTGAAAAGCTGCTGTTCAGACACCACTATTTGTTCTTTTGTCTTAAGAGTCTTTGATAATAATAATAACAACAACAACAACAATAATAATAATAACTAAAAAGTCGGATTAAATCTGGAGATCATCCAAGGCAAAGTTAGGAGAATCTATGGCTCTCCAGATGTTGCTACACTGCAACCGTCATAAGTTTGAATCATTTGCCAAGCGTCTGAATTTTGATCCCGGGACCGTGAGGATGCGACAACGGTTGTGTGGAAAAAACAGTCATCCGTCACTTTTTTTCAGTGCCGTCATAACTTCGAAGCGTCACTAAACAAAGTGCGGTAAGTCGTGGTAAGGACTTACTGTGGTAAGTGCTTTCGATCCAAAAATTTTCATATTGAAAAAAGAAAAAGCTGCTAGTTGAATCGTTTGAGGAGGCTTAGAGTTGGGATCCAGTTCATTAGAGGTTTAACACACAATAGCCACTCGCTGGTCTTGTCTACATCTCTTAGAAGACGTGACCAGCTGGGAAATATTTATTATTACAGAATCTGGAACACGAGGTCAAAAGATGCTCACCCGGGATTTGGCCTCCTCTCACAACTCACCAAAGCCTTGGCAAGCCTTGAAGGCATGGGCTTGTAAACTGAGCTTGTTTTATTAGGAGTGTTACAATGAATAGTGGGGAGAGAAAGAAAACCCTCCGACTTAGGCACAATTTATTGCTCATTAAATCTGGGAAAAGGTTAGTAGCAGGAAGGAGGTGTGGAAGGAAGAGAAGAGAAAAGAATAGATGCAATATAGAAGAGAAGAGAAGAGAAGAGAAGAGAAGAGAAGAGAAGAGAAGAGAAGAGAAGCAATGGAGAATAGAACAGAACGGAATAGATGCAATGGAGAAGAGAAGAGAAGAGAAGAGAAGAGAAGAGAAGAGAAGAGAAGAGAAGAGAAGAGAAGAGAAGAGAAGAGAAGAGAAGAGAAGCAATGGAGACATGGTTGTTCCAGCTTGCGGGACTGGCCTAAGGGATTTTAAAGGGGTTTTAATTACTTTTAATCAGATTAGTTGAAATATTTCTTTTTAATTAATTTTAATAGGTGTATTGTATGTTTGTATTTTATCTAATTGTTAGCCGCCCTGAGTCCGAAAGGAGAAGGGCGGGATATAAATGTAAATAAATAAATAAATAAATAAATAAATAAATAAATAAATAAATAAATAAATAAATAAATAAATAAACAAACAAACAAACAAACAAACAAACAAACAGAACAGAACAGAATAGAATAAGGAATAGAATAGAATAGAATAGAATAGAATAGAATAGAATAGAATAGAATAAGGAATAGAATAGAATAGAATAGAATAAGGAATAGAATAAGGAATAGAATAGAATAGAATAGAATAGAATAGAATAGAATAGAATAGAATAGAATAGGAGTTGAGTAGAATAGAATAGAATAGAATAGAATAGAATAGAATAGAATAGAATAGAATAGAATAGAATAGAATAGGAGATGAGTAGAATAGAATAGAATAGAATAGAATAGAATAGAATAGAATAGAATAGAATAGAACACAATGCAGAATAGAATAGAATAGAATAGAATAGAATAGAATAGAACAGAACAGGGGACCCAGAGGGTTCCTGAGTGGTGCTTGATAACTTATCGGCTTTCTTACAAGGTTCAAGAGGACGGAAGCAAGCAAAAATTAAACTTTCCAGCCATTCCCTCGCTCGGCTTGTGTTCTTCACACACTGCACTTATCGGGCTACCAAGAGCAAAGCAGGGGGGGGGGTCTCCAGGGAGAACTCAGCAAAT